GTGCCACTCTTGAAGTTCTTTCTGCAAACTAAACAGCAGTATTTGGGACTTGCATCATTGCCTTGGTAAAAAAGAGGACACAAAGGGACACTGCAAAAATTGAAAAAAATTTAACGTGTTAAGTGCATTTCCTAGGATCAGATTCCCGGATACAGAGGGCTCTTGTACTAGTTTTGCTGTAAGTCAACAAACCACTTTTACCAATATCTTATTTCTTTTATGTGGGCCTATGTACTGCTAACTGAAAAACAATTTCAGGAGCTTTACTGATTAATGACTGATTTTTTGGATTTACCTGCCTGCTAAACTGGGACTTTTTACAGACAGCTAACATCTTTTGTGAAACTCATTATTTTTCGATAGTTTGGGGAGAAAAATAATTATTTCATTAACACCTGAATTCCTTTCCTTTTTACAGTACCCAAAGGTATGCTTCACTATATTCTGCAGTATCTTAATGTTTTTTCTGATGTATCTGTTTACTACATGTATATTGAATTACTCCCCGAACAATAAATCAACCACTGTCTTGGATACAAAATTATTTTCCTCACACTAAATCTGCAATGTACAACTTTTTTTATACAATCCCAAGAGTAACAGCTGGCTGACAATTTAAGCAGGTCTGCAACATTAACCAGTGAGTGCAATCCAGACTCACATACCAGGGAAGAGGGATGCTTATGAACAATCAAAACATGTGCGTGGCAAAACATCACTTCTATAACCCTACCCAATGAGAAAAAATTCAGATTTCTCTCCTCAGCTGCAGTAGGCAACATTGGGGGAGATGTCAAAACATTAACGGAAAGTGCAGATGTATTGCGTACATCTCTATCAGAGCCTAAAACCTCATTTTGACAAAAGACTTTTAAAATGGGAAGGGAAGCATGCTGAGGAAACAGGAGAGATGTCAACAGATTTTAAATCTTGATTTGGAATGTCACAGTCTTCAGTGTATCCTGGGTCCACAACTCTTCAATGTTTCCATTAATGACAGGAATGGCAGAATCAAGCATACACTTATTAAATTTGCAGATGATATGAAGCAGTGAAGGATTGAAAGTACATTGGAACATGATTTGGAATTCAAAACAACCTCACAAGATTATCTGAAATAGCAAGGATTAGTTTAAGAAGAGTTGCAGAGTTCAATATTTACTAGGCACAGTTAACTACACAATATAAGACGGGAACAAATAGCAAGGACACAATTATATAGAAAAGTGTTTTGAAGACTATACTTATTATTGACTAAACATGAGTCAATGAGCTCACACCCAGGCAACCAAAAAAAAAAAAAAAGAGAAAACTAACCCCCTCATACTATGTACACATCAATATTGCGTGTGGGACTCATGAAAAACTTCTGCCAATCTATTGTTGTTCCCACTCAATGCTATTAAAGAGCTTAGCTCAAATGCTGTAATAGGTATGGGTGGGTGAATTAAAAAAAAAAAGAAAAAAAGATTGAAGTAAGGTATGACAGAAGGTTTCTCTAAGAGTAAAGACATATTTTTTCTTATCACTATGGACAGGGTAAGAAGTATCAGGAAAGACAGGTACTACCTTTTCTCTCAAAGAATCCTGGGACAGTAAACAGGACAGATAGCTAAGCACAGACACTTACCATAAGAAGCTAAAAAATCTCAATTGTTGGAGGTTTTTAATAAAAAAATGTTGCCTAGAGTGGCTTAAATGTAGTAAGCCACTGTTATTCTCAGTCCAGAACTGAGCTTTCATTGTGAGCTTTGGAAATGGTTATGGATTCTGATTTCTCCATCAAATTCCTTTGGCTAGGCCTCAACAATAAGGTTGGTTTTTTTCTTTCCCATATATTTTTTGCCTTTTATTTTTATTTTCTGCTTCTGCACTTGAAAGCTTGGCTTCGAGTAGAATCATAAGTGCTAATAAACCCCAGGAAAAGTAGGCTTCTCTGCACTTACAGGTGAATTTCATATAATATCCAACTTGACCAGAGTAGAAGGTGTTAGAAAGCTTGATAATAAGTCCATCCTTCATTTATCCATTCCTTTCTTTTTTCTTTTTTTTTTTTTTTTTTTTTTTTTTTTTTAAATTTCAGTGGCTTCCATTCCTTTTCAAAGATCAAGTCATGTGAAGTACTAGAGTGGAGATCCTTCGCTACTAGACTTGTCTCCAGGTTTGAAGATTTTTATGCCAGGAAAAGCCATTGGTTAAATTCACTGAACCTTTTACCATGCAAAAGTGCTGATTCCCTTTTAGAATAGTTTAGCCCCTTTGATTTTCCATCCTAAAATATTCCTCCAATTCACTGCAGGTTTAATAGTGACACCTGTGGCACTATGCATTTTTGAGAGCCCACCTGGAGACCGTTTGAAGGATTCTGGGCATCTCTTCTCTGCAAATGAAAATATCTCAAGTTGAGTACGCAAAAACAGACAGCAGGAGTCTCAGCAATTTTCAACATCAGTTGAAACAGCTGAAAGAAAGCTCCCTCCAAATTTACAGGTACGGTTCTTGAACTGAAATACAATTCTGGATTTGAGATTAAATTCTAAGAACTGTGGGTTGTTACTGAGCAACATGACATCGCTCTGGAAATGCATCTGTAGTGATGATTTACAGATAGGTGAGGTTACCCTTCCGCTTGCTGCAGATTTATATCAATTTCTTGTGAACGACTGTTTTCAGTCCAAAACAGCTGAATCCAAGAAGTTAAGGTTCAAAGAGAATACTCTGAGCTCCTGTAGATGGCTATCACAACACTCCCAACGTAACCAGGATTATTTGGTGTTAATAGCACATTTATGGGCACTAAGACATTCATGGATAGTAACAGGTTTGTGCAGTCTCCGTCCTTGGAGGTTTTCAAGACCCAGTTGAGTAAAGCCAGGTAGGATCTTAAACCAACCTTAGGTTAATCAACAGGTTGGACCAGTCCTTTCCAATCCAAATTATTCTACAAGTCTGTGATTATTTCTGTGGCTTTATTACTTGATATAATTCTACGGAGAGGTGAGACCAAGGAAAGGACTTGGAATCTGGGCTTGCTCGGGGTTACTGACTAAGCTGTACAAAAGAAGATCTCCTCCTCCTCCTCTGTTAATTGTTTAGCTCAGAAATGGTACAAATATTATAAAATGCAAGTGGATAAAGGCACCTTCTACGTTCCCTGAATCAGCCACCTGCTCACCTCACCGCAGTGAGCTTCCTATTGCCTGATTCCAGGTGACACCCTGTTCTCCACAGAGGAGCACCATGTCAGATGTCCAGATAAGGCCTTTTAGGTTAATGGAGAGAGCTCGATATTTCCCTTGAACTCAGAATCGCTCTAGGAGCACTCTGGATTCCTGCTAGTGACCACATGGAGGGCCCAAATACATAAGATAGCTGTCCTAAAATATCCTGTCATGTTATTTTACCCAGGTATCTAAAAGGTGTAGGCCACCTAAAAGCCTCCCCATTCCTGATCCTTAGCCTACATCCCACATAACAATACTGATCTTACACAATCCAACACCCTCGTGCAAGCCCAACCACTGTGATTTTACAGAATCACAGGATGTTGGAGGTTGGAAGGACCTGTGGAGGTCATCTTGTCCAAACAGCTGCTCAAGTTCTCATCTAGAGTGATGCCGAATTTGCCCCAAAAGGCGAAATAGAAACTGCTCAGAGACTAAGTTTTCAAGTCCATAAGCAGGAGGTATTTATTCGCAACGCGTTGGGGAACTCTCCAGGCCGCCCTGGACAAAGAGTTCCGCCGGTTAGCAATCAGTGCAGCTTTTTTATACAAGTTTGAGTGTAGGTTACATCATCCTTACATGCATATTCATATTTTTACATGCATATTCATATATAGGCGGAGTCTTCCATTTTGGGGAGTCGTCTGGCGGGAGTTCCGGTGCCTTCGTCAGGGTGGGGGATTGTCTTGTGAGTCTTCCTCGGGTTAAACTTCTGAACTCTTCCTAATTTGGGTAGCTTCCTGGTGTACTTGGCAAGGTCGGAGTGACCTTGGTTCATCTTAAAATTGCTGAAGCTATCATTGTTATGTTATGGTTCTAGTGTCCTTTTCTATCAACTTGTCCTGTTCTCTCAGACAATTGATTACCTCCGTGATTTGGTAGGATTTCGCAAATGTACAAACGGGGCCTGCAATTACTCAGAGCTATGATAAGTGACAAGAGAGGAAGGCAGGAATGTAGGGGGTAGTCCTGAGACCAGCACAATGCTATCTTATCTCTGACAAATTGGGGGGGGGGCCCGAAAGTATGTTAACGAATTACTGGAAGGATGTTTAAACAAGGAAGAGTGGCTTGAAGGAGCAAAACAATGGGTTAAATGAACTCAACAGACATTTTAGAGTGATGGCCCATAGACTAAGGACATTATACCTATATGTGTATATATATATATGTGTCAGGAGAAACTGACAGTATACGACTGGAAACTGTAGGATCTGGGCATGGCATGAAATGGTATGGAATAAGGGGTGGATGATGTCCTGGGTCTGGCAGGGATGGGGTTAATTCTCCCCAGGACCTAGGAGGGACACAAGTATTCCATCCCATGTGAGCCATGCCCAAGGGGTAGCTGGAGCTAGACGGGGAAGGGGAAGAGGAGGTGACCCCCCAGGGGAGGAGAGTGGTTGGGGGCGCCCAGGGAGTGGTTGGCGAGCGGCGGTATCATCATTGCGGTTGTATATCCCTCTGTTATTGTTCTTGTTGTTATTCCTTGCTCCCTTTCCTGTTCTGTTAAAAATTGCCTTTGTCTCAACCCACGAGTTTTGCCTTTTTATTCCCATTTTCCCCTCCCGGCTGCGTGGCCGTGGGGGCTCTGTTCTGTGCGAGCGGCTGCACGTGGTCCTTTGTTGCTGTCTGAGGCCAAACCACATCAGCCCTGGCAACCAGGGGAGTGCTGGCAGGACTTGCAATGCTCACGGTGCCCTGGTGCTCTGCTGCTGCTCGGGCAGTGCGCTGACAGTGCTTGCGCTGCTGCTCTGATGGCGACAACGAGCTCTGATGGCGACAACGTCTGCCACGTGCCACTGGCACCATGAATCTGCTCCTGGTCCTCATCCTGCTGGCCCTGTGCCGGCCCACGCAGGGTACCTGGGACAACTGTGGGTAAGTGGCTAAGGCTCTGGGAGCAGCTTGGGCAACCCTTATGGGGTTCCCTGCAGGGTGCCTGCTTGTCCCCCATGGCCACCCCACAGCTTCCCCAGCGCCGGGGGGGAGCCTGAGATCCTGGCCATCCCCCAGGCTGCTGGCACAGCTCTGCTGTGGGGCTAAAGCAGGAACAGGGGTGGGCGGACGCTCGCTCCGGGGGTCCCCCGGCCCTGCAGCGCCTTGTGGGGAGGGGGGAGGGTGACCTTGAGGCAGAGCAGCAGCGAGCCCTGGGGCAGGAGAGTCACAAATTGCTGGTTACAGAGCGAGCTGCGGTCTCCAGCCCTTGGCTTATGGCTACAGCGCGTTGTGGGGGGCACAGACGCCCGTCCAGGGGCCTGGCCATGGATGGTCAGCATCCAGCAAACCTGGTACACCGACTGGACTCATGTGTGCGGAGGGTCCCTCATCAGCGCCCAGTGGGTCCTGACTGCAGCCCACTGCTTCCTCGAACTCAGGTGAGGGGCACTAGGGCACGGGGCTGTCCCATCACCCCAGCACCACGTGCTACTCCCTCCCCAGTCCCTCACCATGCACCAGAGCACTCCCGAGCCGGCAGGGACTGCTCTGGAGAAGGCTGGGTTCGTGCCACCGCTCCCCAGCAGCCACGGCTGCCAGCTGGCCATGGCCAGTGCCAGAGGCATCTCAGTAGTGTGGCTGTGCTCCCTCCCTGGGGAAGCCGAGGGCAGGGAATGGCTGGGCTGCTGCAGCCCGGGGCTCCACTCCCTCTCACCCCTCTCCATCTGCCTTCCAGGCCCGAACTCCTCTGGCGTGTGGTGATCGGGGCCAACCGGCTGGCTCAGATGGGCCCGGAGGTCCAGGTGCGCCACATCCAGCGGCTCGTGATCCACGAGCACTATAACAACATCTCGCAGCTGAACGACATTGCCTTGCTGGAGTTGGATCACCCAGTCCAGTGCAGCTACTATGTACAGCTGGCCTGTGTGCCCGACGCCTCACTGAGGGTGTCGGAGCTGAAAAACTGCTACGTCAGTGGTTGGGGCTCCACGAATGCAAGAAGTGAGTTCCCCAAAAGTGCTGGTGTGCCGAGGGCCAGCTTGGCTGGCTGGGGAGAAGGGCTGGGCTTCCCGAGAGCAGGGACGAAGGCCAGAGTCGGGCTGTGGGGACAGTTGCCCATCGGGAGATGGACCCAGCCCATTGCCCAGCACGAGAACAGAGGGAAGCGCTGGCCCAAGGGCTCCCGGGTGCAAAGCCGAGCCCTGGGGAAGGGGTTCACCAAGCAGGGAGAGGGGGGAGAACTGGTAACCAGCTGCTGGGGGTTAATTGCTTTCTGTGCTGACAGGTTCCCGACAACCTGATGTCCTGCAGGAGGCCCCCGTCCACCTCCTGGACACCCACCTCTGTAACAGCAGCCGGTGGTACGCAGGGGCCGTCCACAGCAACAACCTGTGTGCTGGCTATGCCTACGGGCTCATCGACACCTGCCAGGTAGGAGGGTGCCCCCAGCCTGGCCCCAGCAGCACAGGAGCCCTCTCACTGCTGCCACGCACACCCCGGCACGGGCTCTGATGGGCCAGTCGCCCTCCTGTCGCCGCTGGCTCCCCACCCCTGCTGGGCCTTCACCTCCCCTTCCCCGGTGGCAGGTCCTTGCCAGTGTCCCCCCTGGTCACAGAGGCCGGGACTCCGTGAGTAATGGATCCACATAGGTCGCTCCTTGATCCGGACCGCGGTGAAGGTGGTCAGCAGCACTTGGAAAGGTCCCTCCCACTTCTCTTGTAGGGGTTTTCCTAGAAGATTCTTAACATACACCCAGTCACCGGGGTTAAACGGATGCAGTTTACAATCAGGTTGTTTGGGTTGGTGTTCTATTACCACCGCAGCGTTTTTATCGAAATGTTTCCCCACTACAGTTACATAATCGTAGATATACTGATTACCTATTTGGTCTATAGCATCTCCATTTACAATTTGCATAGCATAAGGTCTGCCGTACAGAATTTTTCACTGAATTTCACTGAATTTCAAACGGGCTTAACTTCTCCTTTGATCTAGGTTTGACTCTTAGTCTAAGCAGAGTGATAGGCAAAGCTTGATACCACTGTAAATTAGTTTCTTGGCATATCTTAGCAATTTGTTGTTTGATAAGATGATTCATCTTTTCCACTTGCCCACTAGCCTGTGGCCGGTAAGGCGTATGTAATTGCCATTTGATTTGTAATGCTTTGCTTATTGCTCTCACCACTTTTGCACAGAAATGTGAACCCCTGTCTGAAGAAATGCTTCTTGGTACCCCAAACCGTGGTATAATCTCATTCAATAGTACTTTAGTTACTTCTCTTTCCTTATTCGTCCTGCAAGGGAATGCTTCAGGCCACCCAGAAAATGTGTCAGTCAACACTAGCAAGTACCGAAACCCCCCTTTTCTTGGGAGTTCGGAGAAATCAATTTGCCATACTTCACCTGGGAATTTGCCTCGATTTATTGCTCCTTGGTGTATCTTGGTTCCTGTATTTGGGTTGTTCTTCAGGCATCGCTCGCATCGGGATGTAACATTTTTTATGGTAGTAAATAATTTTGGTCCTGCTATCCTAGTTTGCAAATACTGGTAAAGTGGATCTAAGCCCCAATGGGCTCTTTCATGTTCTGTCTTTACAAATTGCCACATTAATTTTCCTGGTATTATTAGCTGTCCTGTTTCTAACTGACCCCATCCATTGTCTAACAATTTGCCTTTATTCTTTTGAATCCACCTATGATCTGATTCCTGATAATTTGGTTGGAAGTTTGTATCTAGTTCTCCTGGTACTAGAGCTGTTATATTTACTTCTTCAGCTCTTGCAGCAGCTAGTTTAGCTTCTGCATCCGCTTTTCTATTCCCTATTTCTGGAATAGTGTTACCTTTTAGGTGTCCTTTGCAATGCATTATGGCCACTTGTGTCGGGAGTTGGACTGCTTCTAACAATCGTAGAACTTCCTCCGCGTGTTTGACTGCTTTCCCTTGGGTAGTCAGCAGTCCTCTTTCTTTCCAGATTGCTCCATGAGCATGTACGACAGAGAAGGCATACTTAGAGTCTGTCCAAATATTAATTCGCATGTTTTCTGCCAATTCCAGAGCTCGAATAAGAGCTATTAGTTCTGCCTTTTGGGCTGAGGTCCCTGCAGGTAAAGGATTTGACTCGATTACCTCTTCCGTTGTAGTCACCGCATAGCCAGCCATCCTTACTCCTTGCTTTACGAAGCTGCTGCCATCCGAGAACCAGTTGTCCACATCTTCGAATGGCTCTTCTTTGAGATCCGGGCGACTGGAGTAGACTGCTTCGATTGTTTCCAGGCAGTCATGCTCGATGGGTTCTGCCAGAGTTCTTCCTTCTAGGAATGAAGCTGGGTTTACAATATTAGTTACTTGAATAGTTATATCATCTGATTCAGCTAGGATTGCTTGGTATTTTAGGAATCTGGAAGGCGATAGCCAGTGGTTACCTTTCTGTTCTAATACAGCTGATACAGTATGAGACACTAACACAGTCATTTTCTGGCCCAGCGTGAGCTTTCTGGCCTCTTCTATATTTATAATCACTGCGGCCACTGCTCTCAGACAGCTAGGCCATCCTTTGCTTACTTCATCCAACTGTTTGGAGAAATAAGCCACAGCTCTTTTGTGCGGTCCCAACTGTTGTGCTAAGACTCCTAAAGCCATCCCTTCTCGTTCATGAGAGAACAGCCAGAATGGTTTTGTTACATGCCAGTGCTCTCATGAGCTCCTGTTTCAGTTTCTTAAAGGCTTCCTCTGCTTCGGGAGTCCAGACTAGGATACTCTTAGTTCCTTTTAGCAAATCATATAGTGGTTTGGCGAGTATCCCATACTGATAGATCCATAGTCGACACCAACCTGTCATTCCCAGAGGCGTGCAAATCTCTCACCGTTTCTGGTCTAGGCATTTGGCAGATGGCTTCCTTTCTTGTTGTTCCTAAGGATCGCTGTCCTCTGGAAACTTCATATCCCAGATATATTACTTCTTCTTGCACTAGTTGTGCTTTCTGTTGAGAAACTCGATATTCACTTAAACCCAAGAAATTCAACAGAGAAATAGTCCATTTTATGCATTCTTTTTCTGTCTCTGTTGCTATTAGGAGATTGTCTACGTATTGTAAAAGAGTTCCATCTCCCGGTGGCCTCTTTCACTGTTCTAATTCTTTGGCTAATTGATTCTCGAAAATTGTGGGACTATTTTTATAGCCTTGAGGTAACACAGTCCAGGTGAGTTGGGCTTTTCTCCCTACATTTACAGATTCCCATTTGTTTTCCAATTTTGTATTTAATGGATTTTAAAAAGTAAGCTTTTTCTGGTTGGCCTGTTGCTCCCACAACTTGTACAAATTCATCACTTCTGGGCACTAGTTCCTGATTTAAAACCGAAAATGTTGCTCCTGTATCAATTAAGAAGTCTAATTCCTTTTCACCTTCCCCTAGCTCCATTTTAACCAGTGGGTCTGCTAGGGAACGACTCACCGGTCCCCCTCATTCTGGATTACTATTGGGAAATATTACATCCAGCCTTTCTTGTAATAAAGCAGCATGTTCTCTTCTTGTTTTTAATACAAGTTCCCTTTCTGTATCCGTTAGCTCTGACAACATTACTTTTATATCCTCTCAGTCAATATCTTGATTCTTTGCCAATAACTCGAACCTCCTAGCCACTCCTTCTGGATTCTTTCTAAAGTTCCTCGCTTCCTTTCTCCAGTTATTCAAATCACTTTCTCTTTCCCCCTTTCTGTTCCTCACTTTCCCTCTCCATTCCTGCCGAATCATTCTCTACCAACCCCCTTTTTCTGTATTTGGATGAGACGCTGTCGGTGCTCACCCTGCCCCGAACTGCTGCCCTCCTTTTCTTCTGTCCCCTTCTTGTTAATTTTGAGGCACTGTTGTCCAATACTACAGGCATCAGACCATGAAATACTGGTTTGCTGCCGGGATCTGTGTTATCACAAAGTCGCAGGACGCCGCTGCAAGCTAGAAAGTATTGTTTACAGATACTGCAATCAGGGGGACACAAATACTTGTCTGTGGGAGTTTTGACAGTAAAATCTCGCCCACTTGGTCTCTACTAAATCTTGATTCGCTCTACACCACATACCACAAAAGGTGGGTACTCGATTAATTGCCCAAAATATATCTCCCGCAGTTATTACACTATACTCTTACGTAAAGAGAGCAATTACAGAAAGGACAGATTTTTATCCTAGGATTCAAGCGCGCGACCATCAATTTATTCACTTTTATAAGATTATCTGTGTTATCAATTCCCATATAAAATTGTAAGACGTCTTATAGAGTGCACTTCTTCACAATACTTTAAACAAACAACACAGAAAACGGACAAAACAAGCGGAACTTTTCTTTATACCCTTAAATTTCAAGCTACAAGTTAATAAGAAATTCTCCACATTCCAAAACCTTTTTCTTAGAAGCACTTCCGGACCTAGCTAGACTCTCCAGGCCGCCCTGGACAAAGAGTTCCCCAACGCATTACTAATAAATACCTCCTGCTTATGGACTTGAAAACTTAGTCTCTGAGCAGTTTCTATTTCGCCTTTTTTGGGGCAAATTCGGCATCAAGAGATCCTGCTCATCTAGATCTGGTTGAGCAGGACTGTGTCTAGACAACTTTTGACTGTCTCCAAGGGAGACTCCACAATCCACTTGGGCAACCTGTGTCAGCGCTCAGTCACTCTCACAATAAAAAAGTGCTTTCTGACCTTCAGAGGGAACGTTCTGTGTGTCATTTTGGCCACCACTGAACTGAGCTTGGCTCCATTGTCTTTGCACCCTCCCTTCAGTTGTTTATAAAGGTTGATAACACTTCCCTGAGCCTTGTCTTCTCCAGGCTGAGAGAGCCCCAGCTCTCTCAGACAGTCTTCATACATGACATGCTCTGGACTGTTCATCACCTTCGTGACCCTTTGCTGGACTCGTGTCCAAGGTCTTTAGGATGGATTCAGGTCTCCTTATAGAAATGCTAGTCTCCAGTTACAGGATGTATTACCCAAGCTGGTGAGTTCACGTACTTTAAGGGTTACTCTTCTAAAGAGTATCACAAAATTTCACCTAGACTGTGCAAGGAATTGCCATCTTTTAAAGAGAAATTCAACTTATTTTCCATGTACGCAGACGTTTGCGCTAGGACAGGTTCTCATCTGTTTTTCCTGTGCCTGCCTTCCTGTGTGGCAAATGTGCAGTATCATTGGCCCTAAAGTAGGTCCAAGTAAATAGCATTGAGGTGAATTTTGAAAGCTAAGATGAAGCTGTGATATTCAGAACGTCTGAATGAAGGACTGCTGGTTTGGAGTAGGCCTGGAGGACTTGGAGAGTCCTGGAGGGCTTACACATTAACCTGTCAAGATTGTCTCTGCCACAGAGGTGCTTGATGCAAAAAGGGACAGGAACGTCCTCATCCTTGACATTGGGAACAGACCAGTTTGGTCTAAATGGTACCACTCTGCTTTAGGATTCAGACCTTCAGCAAGCCCCAGGCAGCATTTTTTGTTTAGTAATGACACTTCCTGGACCAGAGTAGGACTATGTTTATTGGATATATGGACAT